GAACTCAATCCATCAAGCCTACGTAATGAAATCCCAATAAAAACTCTGGTCAATGAAGTTGGAGTGAGCTTTCCTGATGGGTGATGCACATCAATATGCTGGGAGCGTGACACGTCCTGAGGACATGAAAGTTTCATGTTTGGGACCCCCTCCCAGGCCTCATCCTCTGGGTCTCTTCTTTTCGCTGGTTTGTATCCTTTATAATAAAACTGTATTTCTAAGTAGAGCAATTTCCTGAGTTCTACAAGTCATTCTAGCAAATTATGGAACTTTATGAGTAGTGAGAACTCCTGAACTTGTAGCCAGTTGGCCAGAGTGAGGGTGGCCTGAGAACCCTGGAGCTTGTGACTGGTGTGTGAATTGAGGGCAGTGCCCTGGTGCGGCCTGTGCCCTGAAGCTGGGAAACTTGACCTCAAGCCAGGTAGTTCGTGTCAGAATCACACTGTATCCAGGCATTGGGTTTACCCAGGAAATGGCCATGACTGCCCTGACCCTCCTCAGGAGATGACCCTTCCAAAAGGCCCAAAGAGTTGCGTTTTTTTAATTTTAATTTTTTAATTGGGGAGCACTGTGTTTTTCCAGGACCCATCAGCTCCAAGTCAAGTAGTTGTTTCAATCTAGTTGTGAAGGGCATAGCTCAGTGGCCCATGTGGGCAACTTTGGTGTTATGAGCCTGCGCTCTAACCGCCTGAGCTAACCGGCCACCCCACAAAAGTTGCATCTTCACTTTGGTAGATGAGATGGTAAGGAAGCCACTGAGAGGTGATAAATGATAACTCTCTCGAGTGACTAAAGAGAAGAATTTAAGGAAAGTTTATATGAGCCATAGAAACTGGCCCTGTCTGCGGAATCAGAAAGCCATGGGAATCCAGAAGAGTTCTTCAAATATGACATCCGATGAGATGTGAAATATTCAGATCACAGATGGTGATCCTCGAGGCAACTGTTGATGATGGAAGCCTGAAAGGCGACATCCCTGTGCATAACCCTCCAGAGAGGGCATCGCATACAAATACGTTCTGGTGTATAAAAAAGATGGACGGTATGGCTTTCTCTAAATCTCACTTAGAATGAGATGACTATTGGTGGCACAAAAATGCCAGCCAATCTACACATTCATATTAAAACACAGTACACATTCGGGAAAAGAGATGAAAGTTGTTTGCCACATATCTGCTCTCCCATATGGTCTCAGGAAAGCGTCAGGAGCACATTTTGGAGGTGGCAGCAGTAAATCACGAAACTGTTTTTCTCTCAACTCCCTAGAAAACGTAAAGGCACTCTCTCCACACTGAGGCACCAAAACCTACAAAACCATATCCTTGTTCTTTGCTGTCCCAGAAATGAACTCGTTCCGGTATGCTTGTGCTGAGGAATTCTGTAGAAGGCCTGTCCTCCTTCACGCCATATGTTTAAGTTTTATAGTTCCTTAAATGGTCAACCGAGAGCCCCCTCTTCTGTGAAGCCTCCTCTGATTACTCCAGACCTCACCTAGGAATATTTCCTGTAACTCCAATGGCAAACCTTCTCTTGATCAAACAGCCTGGTCTAAATCACAGACCCGGCTCAGCTGAGCACTGGTTTCAGACACCCACAAAGTGGGCTGTCAATTAAGGCCTGCTTAAATACGTAACCAACAGCAATCTGTTAAGTGGAGTCAGCAGCCCCAACAGTGAGCTTGTTATATTAGGTTCTGGAGGGATCCCTTGTTACTGTTCCCCACAGCACAACACAGAAGAAAAATCCTACGCTGTCTTGCTTTGGAAACGTCTGAAGTCTACTTCCAAGGGAAACTGACCTCTTTGTTTCAGGACTTCAACTACAAAGCTCAGGGTAGCAGGCGTAAATATCACAGGAGTTTGGAAGATGGGAGGAGGCTACAGGGGGCAGATCTCAACTTTGGTAGAGGGGAAAAAACAAGTAATTAGAACTACCCCCCACTCCCACTCCCCACACACACACAGTAGACAGGCTGTGTGTTTGCTAAGTGCTGCAGGCAGCGCTGGAGGGGCCCTGCAAGGAGGCCTCAGGGGGAGCTTGGTGGGGTAGGGGTGAATGCAGAAGGGAGCTCTGGAGCTAGAGGATGCGTGTAGGAGGGGCTCAGTGGGGCGAGGATGAGGTTATACAGTAACGCCTTGTAATCACATAATTCATTAACACCAGACTCTGGGGCGGCCTTTTTTTTTTTTTTTTTCCTAACACCTACTGTATTAGGTGCATTATCTCATTATTTTAAAGTTGTTTTTTTTTTAATTAAATGTATTGGGGTGACAATGGTTAGTAAAATTATACAGGTTTCAACTGTACAATTCTATAACACATCATCTATATATTTAATCTCTAAAACTGCCCTAGAGAGACATCCATTGTTAACTCCATTGTGTAGAGAAGAAAACAAAGGCATGAAGTAATTCCCTCACAAGAGGCAGAGCTGGGATTTGAATCCAATTATATCAGACCCCAAAGTAGGTGCTATTTTTCTCCAAATCACAGCTACTGATAGCCACTGAACCACATTTTAACCACATTTCCTCTGCAAACAGGGACATATGACATCTATTGTAACACATACTATATATATATATATATATATATATATATATATATATATATATATATATATATATATATATATATACATTACCTAACACATAGCAAATAACCCTTCATTCTGCCCAAAGAAGGGCACCTGAGGTGATTAAGTCTATGCATCAGGCCTCCTAGGAAAGGGCCCCAAAGCTAGCTGGTAGCATCCCAGGTGTCCTTTGTGACAAGCCTGTCAGGGTTTACAGACAGAGCACAGGCTGAATGACATCAGGGAGGAGATAGATATAAACACCTGCCTTGCCTTCACTCATCACATATCTTAGTTCATCGCCAAACACTTCAGGTCATTTGCTGAAAACTTGCACACTGGTGGTCTCTAGCCATCGCTTCTAAGCAGAGGATGTCCCTGGAAAGCTTACAGTGCTGACTACAAATGCTCTCAAACACGAGGTATAAAATAGAATTTTATTCTCTTGGTATAAAATAGAATTCCACAAGGAGCTCTGAACTTGCAGTCCAAGCAGATGTGGTAATATCTTAAAGACCCAGAAAATTCCTGCTTTGAATTATTCTTCCAGGGATGAAACCCTCTCAGGAAGGACTGCAGATATGCGGCTGTTATAACAGCCCTGGAAAAAAGACAAGCCAGAACTGGGTCCCGAAGGCAACTCCCGGCTCTTCCAGGTTGGGGAGGGTGCAACGGGGGCTGGTCCAGCTCTGGGGCACCTATCACCAATCTACTATTGTCCAAAGGGCATTCCTGCTCCTGTACCTCTACCCAACCACTTCAGCAACTAGACTTATTTTTTTCAGAAGACTCAGAACCGCTGGAGGGCAGTGGCTGGCTCTTAACATTTTTAGCACTCCCAGAATTAGGCTCTTAGTAGTTGTCAGATACATTATTACATGGATGGAAAACTGAGTATAGAAAATGCAAGTCTAAGACATCATTCACGCTGCTACCAGAATGGTGTTCCTAAACTGTGGATGGGTTGTGTCCTTCCCCACTGTTTACATAAAGCCCAAATTCCCTAGTGAGAAAGAGGAGGCCTGTTACAGTACATCCCAGTCTATCCTCCCGTCCAATTGTCCCCCACACTCTGCATGTTCCACGTATACCAGACGGTGTGCTACTTTCTAAAGATACAGAATTCTTGTATAACCCTATCTATACCTTGTATACGCTGGTCCCTCTTCCCAGCATGCACCTAGCCACTCTTATGCGCTGAGTAATTTCCTTTTCTGAGACCAACCAGACAAACATCCCCACTTCCCTGCAGCTCCCCTTGACTCCTCTCCAGGCCGTGCTCTGGGCAGAGTTGGCCTGTGTTTTCCAGAGGGTGCAGGGTCAGTCCTGACTCTGCATCTGCCTCTCTTGTATCTCAAGACACCTTTCCTAAGCACTCTCAGCCTCCGTTTCCACATCTATAACCTTCCTGCCTCATAGGATATTTATAAAGATTAAATAAGATGAGGATATAAGGGATAATAGGTGATGGCACTCAATAACTAACTGTTAGCTCTGAGACCGCTGTTTTGCGATTCTCTTAAATCCAGAGTCTTCTCTGGTGTCCCATGCTGCCAGTTTGAAGACCTTACAGATATAACAGAACACATTAAAAAATACATATACACATATGGATTCCTCTAGCTTGTAGGTAAGTCTCCTCTCCTACACAAGTCTTTCCAGCCAGCACTCCCCTCAAGTTAGTCTGCCTTAGGTGAAGACCCATTAAGACCAGCTGATCACAAGGGGCAGCTGCTAGTAGGTAAAACCAGCAGGAGGGGCCCCCAACCTCCTCTCCAGGTACCAGAGCCCTGAGGAAACTTAAGGCGCAGAATGGTTTCACAAGTAAAACAATCACTCTGATACAAATATCATCCCTGAGAGAAAACGACATGCTGTTGTCATCTTTGGCTACTTACAGTAGCTGGGTGGCACAACTGGTTGAAGAAATGTTCCACTTGCAAATTGATAAGGGAGATGTTCATATTAAACTACTGCCTCCAAGGCAATAGCAAAACATGCCATGGGTGACCTTGCACCACCTTTCACGTTGACCTTGAGTACCAGGAATGGAAACATTCTCTGGAAAACAACAGAGCTGTGCTTTGGGCAAGCTGGGTGTCAACACTGAGCAGGTGCTGGCAGATATTACAGTTTTTCTTCCCATAATAACCACATAATGTGTTTTTCTTCCCCAACGACGCTTGCCTACACATTCTTTCATGGAAAAAACTTATAAATATGCATTAATTATGTAAATTTCTTGTTTTTCCATCTTAAAGATCCCTGGGAAGGCCAATAGAGGATTATTTCCCACATCTGAGTGGGAAATCAAATGTCACCAACCAAGAATTGGAGGTGTTTTTCCTGGAGGGACGCAATACAGAGGAATGTGTGATGGCTTCTCAGTGGTCCTAAGTTGAGTCCCTGTCATCCTGAACTGTACCTTGGGGTTCCCTCCACCTTCTTTGGCTGCATACAACATCTGTAGAGCAGACTCTGCGAGCGTCTTGGTCTGGTCCAGCACTGTCATCTGCTGCTGATGGTCCAGAATCTTGGAGGCGACACCAACTGCAGCTAAGATCAAGGGCTCAAAGTAGCTTGCCAGCTGTGTCACCTTTGAAGACAAAATAGCCACAGAGGCATCATGTAAATACTTGCATTTCCTTTAGGGGCCCCATTGGCGGGGAGAGGGCTGGGACAAGGTGGATGGGATGATGTGCAGGGATAGGCAGATCGGCTGAACTTTATTTCTGCTTGTTTTTTTCTATTATACAATCCAGTGTCATGACTTAGAGTCACCATGTTATACATTAGATCCCTAGACCTTATTCATTGCTCAACTATACTTTTGAAAGTACCTGCTGATTAACGAACTTGCTTGGGTTTACTTCCTCTGGGGAACTCTTTGTTTCATCTTTCATCATGGCAGAAGTGCCAAGAAACCCGTTCTGAGATCCAGAGTTAGGAGCGAGAAGTTTACAAATTTTAATTTTACAAATAGAAAAGCTTTTGAGAGAACCTCACAGACTCACAAACTCTTACTTCACAAGAGCATCTCACAAACGCGGCAGGAAGGGGGATAGGAGAGGGGCTGGGAAGCAGAGCGGATGAGAAAAGAAGCCTGAGAAAACAGCACCCTCGGAAGTTTTTAGGAAGCCAATCTAACTGCCCTCTGCCCTGAGCATTTTGACCAAACTGTGGATTTGGAATAAAAGCAAAAATGATTTCACATCACCCTAGATGTTCTGTTTATGATTAGCTCAACCTAGGAAAACAAAAAAAGCCTATCATGACCGCTAACCACTGTCCCAGCCGAGGCCAATCTCCAGTAGGGCAGCACCACAGACAGTACATGTATGCTCGCCCAAGCTCACCAGCTGGGTGGCTCATGTCACAACATTTACTGGGTGCATCCCAATGCCAGGCTTTCTGCTCAAGGCTTGCCATGCATTTCCTCATCTAGTCTCTACAACAACTGTAGATACAAATGAAGAAGCCTAGGTTCAGACAGGTGCAATAACCTGCTCAGCCTCATGCAGCAGAGAGGTGACGCTGAACAGGAGCCAGGTGCCCCCCTCCACAGCCCAGGTGCTTGACCACCGCTGGACTGTCTGCTAGTTTGAGTTTTTATTCCCGTTCTGCTAAGTTGTAATATCAGGTTTGAGATGTTTATTGTTTGGTATTTGTTGCTTTGTGAAATATTTAAAATAACGTCCGAGAAAAATACAGCAATACCCATCAACCTAGCATCCAGAGTATCACATTTATTCAACATGTTGCTGTCTTTGCTTCAGGTATCATAATCTATTCACACTCAGATAAAACACAATGACACTGATTACAGTTTTCTGTTCAACTCCTTGTTTGGCGTGACAATGACTAACTGCTCAATTATTCCCATCAAGGGTATATAAGCTCGAACCTTTAGGCAGCAATTCCCTTAATGCTTCTTCCCGTCACATGGAGGAAGAATAAATGTGTTGGGGACGTCGGTAGGAAGGCCACTTCACATGAGCAGCGGCAGTCACTGGGTCAAAAACAAAGCAGGGGGTGGAGGGTTTGGGGATGGTGGTAGTTGGGGCAAATAGAGGAGGTGGTGGTCCAAAATAGTAAAGCTCGTTGAAGGTAACAGTGAGACAAGACTATCAGCTAGCAATGAATATACTTTTATTTGTTTATCTCCGATTCCAGCTATCTTACATATAGGTTTCAAAGCACCTGAGCAGGCTGCTGCGGGCCCATATGGTGCTTTGTATGAATTCTAAAGGGGCTCCCCATCCACTGGGCAGACACGACAGATGCCAAGGCACATGACCTGGCTGGATTTCAGCCCCATTCCCGGCCTCAGACAAACACCTTTGCGTAGGAACCAGCCCACACAACCCCAGGTGACAGCCCTCCATGTTTACATGGGATCTCATCCTCCTCCCCAGGAAGGGCCCTGGTGTCGCCACAAAAGGGAACACAGCACTGATGGGTCATCAGGGGTCAGGGCTAAGGAAGCGTCCTCTATGTACTAATGGAGTCAAAATGCTTAGTGCATTAGAATCTTAAACGTTTTCCAGATGCATTTTATTATTTTAAATGTACATTTCATCAATGCAACTGTACACCGCCAAGGGTTGCTGCGTGCTGAGAATAATTAAACTCCACTGGCGCCCAACTTCCTCATGGAAGTAATGTGGCTGGGTGATGGAGTCAGCTCTAGTTTCAGAGCTGCTGGACAGGAGTCCTCCCTGCCAATTCCTCATTGAGAAATCCTAGGCAAATTGCCGCCTATTACTAAGCTTCAGGTTCCTCCTCTGTAAAATGGGGATTAATAGTAACACTAAGCTCATTAAGATCGTGAGGAGGATTAAATTAGTGTCCATAAAAGCACTTAGCATGATGCCTGCCATGCTGTAGGCACTCAATAAATGCTGGGCATCATTATCCTTCACGTACTGTGGGCAAAGGGCTTAGAAAGGATGTGCTTTTTCCTGTATGTAGGGAGTGAACACTTTATGTTCTTGAGACACGACAAGACGGGAAGCATCCTCAGCTGGGTTAGCACAGATGTTAAAATAGCAGAGAAGTTTGAGGATTTCGTACATGTTGTTGATTCCCTAGGCCCAAGGTGGTAGGGTGGGTTGAATGGTAGCCCCCCCAAAACATATGTCCGTGTCCAAATTCCTGGAACTTGTGAATGTGATCTTAATGGGAAAAAGGGTCTTTGCAGGTGTATTTAGGAGCTTAAGATGAGATCATCCCGGGTTACTTGGGGGTGCGGGGAGGGCTAAACCTGGTAACGAGTATCCTTATAAGAGTAAGAAGAAGGAAAGACTGACAGAAGAGCAGGAGACAATGTGACCACAGAGGCAGAGATTGGCATGACACCGTCAGGGAATGTTGGGGAATGCCAAAAGCCACCTGGTGCTGGAAGAGGCAAAGAACAGAGCCTGCTTCAGAGCCTCCAGAAAGAGCGTGGCCCGACCAACACCTTGATTTTGGACTTCTGGCCTCCAGAACTGTGAGAGATTACATTTCTGTTGTTTTAAGCCACCCAGTTTATAGCAATTTGTTACAGCAGCTGTGGGAAACTCATACAGGTGGGGCCTGAGAATTTGCACTTAGCACTCCCAGGGGATGTTGACACTGTCTGGGACGCCCCCTGAGAGCTGTAATAAAGCACTCAGTCCACGACTCCTCCGGATAAAGGGGTCCCTAGGCTGCCCTTGTCCAGACTCCCTTTGAGAAATTCAGACTGGTTTAGCCAAAGGACCAAGAGCAAAGTTATAACTCAAGTGACACAGATATATTATTATTTTTCTTTTGATGCCACCCAATGACCTAGGAATTAATCTCCCTTACTAACGACATATCTGCAAAGACAAGGATATTGCCCTAGAAGTCTAGGAATATTTTCTTATGTGAAATTCCTACTGGAACAAAAAGTAGCTGCTAAAACAAAGTCTGACTTCTCTGCCAAACTCAGTTTCCCCACAGCATGCACACAGGCAGAGGGACCCCTGGCGTACCTCTCCACAAAGGTGGACCAGCCCCTTTCTTATTATAAAGGAAGTCAGACAGGAAGTTGGCCCCACTTGAAAAGGCAGAGACGCTGACCATTTTTAAATCTCAAACACCTTTCCTTAGAACACCAGCAGGAAGCTTAGCAGGCCCTTAAGCTGTTCTGTAGTTTTAAAAAGCAAGCATATCGATTCTCTAAAATCAATACCCGCAGAGAAGATTCTGGCTCCTGGATTTCTTGATATGCACATCGATACCGATGGCTGCACTGATAACTGCTAGGAAACCCTGAAGCCTGTTAAAAATCCAATTTCTGCCCTCTCTCAGCTGAGGCACGGGCTGCTTGGCAACCAACTATTCTTGCAGGATTCGCAAAACGAACCCCAAACAGGCAAACATCATTCATCACTTACAACAACATGGGGACAAACTGTCAGTTGAAGGTGCTCCCCTGGCGGGGGTGGGGGTGGGGCACATAGGCAGGCTTTAGTTGTCCAGAGTGAACTGTGCAAGTTTGCTCTGCTTTCTCGTTTGTGAAAATAGACACTATATTAGGAGCCATGGAAGAACAATGTACCCCTAAAACACACGATATGAGGCTAGCCAGGGACAAAAGATGGCAGACGTTGGTTAGGAATGTCAACTTCAGTCTCTGGCTTATCTCAGCGAAAGTCAAGAGTAACAGATGACTGTCAATGACTCCTTGGCTGAAAAGTTTGACCACAATCAGAAAAATTTCCCTGTAGTTTTTGTCTCGATGCCAGGTACAAACAGATCCTGACATGGTCATTTCTGGAGAAGGTGCTAGAGGGAAGTTGAATACTATTTCCTGTCATTTAAGCCGGTATTGACCCAGGCCCAATACCTGGCACCAGCGTTTTGGGAACAGTAACAAAATCAATAGAAACCTCTCCCTCCACCTCTCTCCTGTGGACTCGCAGCAGGATCCCCTTGGGGTACGGTACCTTGTGTCCCAGCTGAGCTGCTTCTCCCCGAGCCGCTGTGGCGATGGGATCGATAAGGTGCCCGATTTCCTGGACCACGGAAGTCAGCTGCTCCTGCAGGGCCTGATAAGGACAGAGAGCTGTCAAGTTCACCCCACAAGGGTTCCCCACGTAGGCACACTGACTTAGAAAGGCCTGTGGGAAAGACAAGGGAGGCTACAAGAAACGGACATCGAGACGCCTGGGCATCCATCAAGCTGTTGTCCCACCTGTCCCCTTCTCAGGGGTGCTCAGCTCCCCTGGGCGAGAAGCCCCTCCCCAACCCAGCTGCACCATGAGTGACACAGGCAGGCCCGAGGAACACTGGCTTCTCATGTCCCCCAACCACAGTGACCAATGATGCTACTAGTATCTTGACTTTGGGTTACTCAGCATAATTACTGGAAATGTGGGACAGCCATGGCTTTCCAAGAAGGGAAGACAACTTTGTCCAAGTGGAGAGGGCTAACGACAGGGTCTGAGGGGAATTATGGGTTGTTGTGTCCTCAAAACTAAGAACTCCTTAAGGGGATAGGGGAGAGGGGGAGGAGGTAAAAATGAGATCAGTTCTCTGAAAGCAGGGCTATTTCCCAAACACCACACTGTGAAAAAGCCAGGGAAGATGCCCACTGGGCTTGTCAGCTCAGGCTCTCAATTCATTGTATTTGGTGATATGGATACAGTTGTTGAAAACGGCTTCCTCAAGGCATTTCTTCTCATGTTTGAGAGACAGTTTAATCTCTTTATCCCAAAGAGTTGAACTCATGCTACAGACAAGGCAAGGTATCTAGGTGATGGTGGGGTGTTGGGGGGTGGGGAATTCAAAGGTGAAGGTTGTTAGCCAGGAGTGGGAAAGATCAGATCCTTTTGGAGGAATCTTCACAGGAGTTTCGCTTGATCGAGTCAGGATTTAATACATCACAACACTGGACATTTTAGGTCTGCACACGCCAGCATGGATTAGTCTGATTTCTGACAAAGTGACAATGTCCTGCTCATTAGAAATGAGACTCGGGCCTTTGCCACTTTCCCACTGAACAATGCTGCATATGGGCTGGGACCTTTGAGAAGAGTTTAGTCAGTGAGAGGAGCGGTCTGACATGAAAATGTGAGAACAAAATCCTGAGTAAAAAAGGAAAAAGAGACAGACATAGAGAGACGGAGGTGGGTGGAGAGAAACCTCCACATTTCCCAGGGTCCTATTTAGCTAAGTACTTATCTTCCCACTTATAACGTGACTATAGTCAAGAAGACAAGAATACTCCAGCAATTGTCTTATCACAGATGGCTTGTTAAGTGAAATACAGTGCAAGTAGGGAGCACATGGAGGATTTTCTTCCTAGGGAGGAAGTTAAGACAGAGGACATGCTTGGGGAGGGATGGTACAAGGATGGGCTCCTTCTGAGTCACTGGTCATGTTTGTCTCTTGATGAGGGGGCTTGTTAAAGGGTGAGCTTAGCTGGCGAAAATTCATCAAGCTGCACACTGTGATATACACACTTTTCTATAGGCATATTCTACTTTAATAACAGGTGAACAATAATTCTACCATTCCACACAAGATGAGAAATGCAGGGTGGTGGTAGGGGTGGTGGTGGTGTGAAGCTGAGATCAATGACAGCTCTATTAATAACAAATGAGCAATACCGACTCTGGGCCCACTGCTTAGAGACAGGGGCCAAAGCTCATTGTTGAAGGCAGGGGCAGTAAGGGAAACATCAGCAAAGAGACCATCCATATTTATTAGGCACCTGTCGAGTGTCGGGCACTTTCGACAAAGAGAGAGGAGTATTCATCAGAGGTCTCTGGACAGCTAATAGAAAACACTCCATGGATCAAAGTAGGAAAATTCTATTCTCAGCTTTGGAAACACTGGCAAGAAAAGGCAAAGTGGCCCTGAACTAATAACAGAATGCAAAAGGTCCCCAAACACTAGATGTTGAGTAACTTAGGGAGGAATCCTTTTTCTCTGAATGGGCCAAATGCATTGAGTTTAATGCTAAATGGGCCTATCAGTCAACAAATATATTGATGAAACATGACAACAGAGAAATGTACATGCTCAGGTCTGCTCTACTGATGTGTTAAACCGGATGTGCTTATTGATATGTTCTAATTGGACACTAATTTTTCCTCAAACTTCAGCCACATTGGAACTTTCCACCACCAGCAACACATGTGTTCCTTCGCCGAACCATCATTCTCCAGGCAGCATTTGCCCTACCCCCTCCAAAAACTTCCCAGGCTGGTTCCACAGGAGAAGGTGGTTCAACGATGAAACTCTTATCATCTAAAGCAAGTTGGTCCCATCCTCCCTGATGCTGAAATTCTTCAGCACTTCCAGAAGCTTCCAAGCCATCCACAGAGCCCCAGTGTACCTCCACAGAGATGTCATCTCTCGTGGCCAAACTCTGGCTGACAGCTGCCAGCGAGGCCTGCTCAATGTCCCGGATGCACCGGTTGATGCCATCGATGGAATAGTCACACTCTCTCTGTCCAGGGGCCTTGTCCCTGGAAGAGACAGAGGGAGTTAAACACAGGTTCCATGGGCTCAAGTCCCACAACCCCCTCCTGCATTGGTGGGCCAGGAGCCCCTGTCTACTCTCTACCCTACTCGATTGCTTTGTTTAAGGAGCAATCCCTGACACTTGCTTAGCAATGCCTCTGTGTATAGTCCGTACCTTTCTTAATTTACCCTCGTACTAACTCTACTTATTTCTGGTGAGAAGGAGACGGTGCTGCCCTCCAACTCAGGCTGATGCCAGACAACTGCAAATTTGCACTTGGATTATCCATCCACTGGCTTATCCACCCACTGGCTTAAGCACAGACTCCTTATTTAAAAAGAAAACAGTGGTCGGTGCTCTTTCCAGTTCAACCATATTATGATCTCTTTATTGCATACTATTCACAAAGTCCTGGGTTATAGTAGGAGCTAAAATATTTAGTGTGTTTTTCTTTGCAAGGCATTAAGAAAGTGAACTGTGGTCCTGAGCTTCAAAAGCAATTGAAAAACAAAATATAACTAAGAAAAGGGATGCATTCCATGCTGTGGGGCATTAACTTTGGCCAACCTTCAGACATGTTTTATCTACTTAAGGAATATTTTTTTAGGCTCCTATTATCACCAAAGAGGTCAGAGATGCCCAAAGTTACTGTGGGACCTAGAATATTCTTTTTGTCTTATTAGCAAAATAAGGTAACCCCAAATTCTGCTAAATAAATAGTGGTGCTGTCTGCATAAGCTCCTAGGTATAGACAATGTGGTACAATGTTTAGAAAGACTGGGACTAGAGGCATCTGGGGATGACCTTGGGAATGTTACCGAAATCTTTTCTGCCTCAATTCTGTCATCAGTAAAATGAAGACAATGGCAGTATCTACCTTACAAGGTTGTTGTGCTAATCAAATGAGGTAATCTAGGTAAGATGCTTGGAACAGTATCTGACATGTAGTAAGTGCCTAAATTAGCTATTATTGTGACCAGTGCTACCACTGATCCCAAAGAGATAAAGAAAAAGATGTTGTTAATGATCAACCACATTGCTATGAAATAAAATTCCCGACAGGCTCATTCCCCTCCTGCCCTGTTCAGATGCAGGCCCCTAGCAATTTCTAGAGGAGAAACGAACCTGATAGATGTGATGAGACTCTTGATGGAGTCAGAGACAGTGTGGGAATGTCCGGCTAGCACAGACCAGGTGGGCGGGTCTTTGGGGTTGATAGCCAGTGAGCGTGCAGTGCGGATGAGGTACGACGAACTCTCCAGCATGGTCTTGGCTGAGACCAGGATCGGTTCCTGTGCCTGGGAGCCCTGGGACCAAACAGAAGGGTCAAGAGCAGGGTGCACAGAGTGAATGAGTCAGGCCCGGGGAGTCCTCTTCTTTACCAAGTCACTACCTCTGCCCTTTGAAAGGAGGCCCAGAGGATAGGGAACCATGGAGGTTGGCTCAAACAGGGCCTGGATGGTGAGGATGTGGGTCCATGTTCTTAGACATCATTTTTAAGTGAGACATATACCAAGAATCAGCCTCAAATTTATGCATAGAGATTGTTCTCAACATATAAAGCTAAGGCATTACTTTTTTTTTTTTTTTTAGCTGAGCCATCCTGCCACCTGTTGGCAGCTCAGCGACAGCTCAGCTCAGGCTGGGCATCGAACCGCTGTTGCTCAGAGCTCACACTCTTGAGTGAGCTCTTAACCAACTGAGCCACTCAGCCAGCTCAAGGCATTACTTCTTAAGAGATGTGTGGACATTGAGTTTCATTAACTCTACATCTATCATCATCGACAGCAATAACAATGCCCTCAATATTGACAGAGAGAGCTTTTGGATGCTCATGCTCATTCAGCGCCACACAAAACCAGACAAAGACACCAATATTTCCTTTGCTGCAAAGACTCCCTACCTCAGAGCTGATTTGGGCGGGAACACTGACAAACTCAGGGTTGGATGCGAATGCTGTCAGGTTCTCCACGGCTTCGATCAAGGGTGCGGTGGCGATGCGACACTTATTGCGGTTGTCTTCAGAGAAATCCCCATCTAGGGCCTGATGGGAGAAAACAGAGACTTCACCCCACTGAGAAGCACAAACCACTCCTGGGCCACAGTAATCTCTTCCCAGCGAAAGAAGGTAGGTTAGTGGGAATACAAATATCTGGTGAATTCATAAATAATAAATAAGAACGAATTGGAGAGATCTCTGCCATCAAGCAGAGGGGCTCAGTTATCAATTATAAGAACGTGTGGCTCACAGGAGAGGTGACCTCACAGACCATTAACTTCCCACTCACACGAGGCAGAAACATGGATTCAGATAGCACGCGGCTCTTCACTCCCTATGAGCCATGTTGCCAAACCTTGTAGCTGCACCACTTTGTTCCCTACTTTTGACACTGTAACCGTTGGGTTCTTCCCCTTTATTTTCACTCCCGGTAAGTCTATTCCCTTCCAAACTATAAATATACTTAACATCGTGTAGCCCTTTCAACCTTTTCTAAGTTTTACCTGCATGTGCCTAAATGACTGACGGAGGTAGGGCTTGCACTGCCACCATTAGAAATGAGCAAAATGGAATCCAATGGGAAGGAACAAGCTAGAACTACCCCAAACAATATGGACAAATCTCACAAACGTAATATGTAGTTCAAGAGGCCAGACACAAAAGGGTGCCTGCTATATGATTCCATTTGTGCAAAGTACAAAAGCAGGTGAAGCTAGCTTAGGGTGTGAGCAGTCAGGTTACCCTCAGGCCCTGGCGTGACTGAAGGAGGCTGGGGACTTCTGGGGCTGACCGTGATCTGGCTATAGTTACCTAAGTGTGTTCAGCTTGAGAAAACTCACTGAGCTCTACACATATGATGTGCGTTGTTTGTCTATGTATCCTATGCTTCAATAGCTTTTTTCTTTTTTAAATTAGCAGCACTGAACGCTCAGTTGCATTGTTGATTCATGGCCTACATGGATGAGAATTCAGAAAGGCAGCCTGTGATCCATGCTAGGCTGCCTCCCAAAGGGTTATCACTTGGATTCGAGGTTCCCCAACCCCAGACTCCACCTCCTCAAGAATAAGACTGTTGGAACCTGGAGCCTATGACCCAGCCACAGCACCCGTGTCTCTCAGCACAGGGATACATTTAAGTAGGCAGTTATGTTTGTAAAAGAATGTAAATTTCCTTGTGAAATGACTAATTAAACTTTTAATTTAACTGTTATGAGCAATATATAAATACCAATTTAGACAATTAGTGAACAAAAAACCAGAGAAACCAGCATTTGAAATAACCCGAATGAGAGATGGGAGAAGTTCTATTTTTCATTGAGGCAAGAGGAGGCAGGCATGATCTGTTTAAAGGCAATTTCTGAATAACAACTACATTCCAATCAAGCCTTGGCAGCTTGGGACAATAATTGCATATCCACCCAGTTAATATTTCCAGAGGAATTCCCACGAGCCTGGCTCACTTACCGTCTTCCCTAATACCGTGCATGGCTCGCCTTGGCGCACGTCCTTCCCCACTGGACAGGCACTGACCTCCACCTTACCCTCTCTGATTCCGCCATTCTTCCAGGCCCAACGGAAACCCTACGTGCCTGCTTCTTCTTGCTCACCTATAAGGCCTCCGTTCTCACTGCCACGCAAGCACTCCACAAACACTGACTCTGCGCCTGTGATGTCCACCGAGCCAGGCACTGGCAGTGTAGAAGTGAGTTGGCACTCTAACCTTGTTGCATGATTAACATTATGGACTCCTGAGGTCAGGCCCTCCCAGGCTTCAGAGCCATTTGGGAATACCGAGGGAGGCAGGGTGAGTGCCACCTAGCAGGGGCCTGACAGGAGTGGCCCTCCTACAGGCAAACCACTGAGGCAGGCAGACGGCAGGAGTGGACTTTGGCATCAAAGGAACTCGGGTCCTGGCACCACCAGTGGCCAATCACAACCCATTTGGTTGGAATGATTTGGCCTCTAGCTCAATGGAAGATGCCAAGGCCCCCCTGGTGCCGCTCACTCCTGCTTCTTATCTCGCCACACTCTTTCCACTCCCTTTTCTACCTTCTACGACCCTCTCTGCCTATCAGGAAGGCAGGCATCTGATGAAGCACCAACCCTTAGCTGAGCTCATTCAAAATGAAAAGATGATGACCTGCGGGAAATCCTATTGTGCAAGTGTCATAAACTACATCAATAAGGTGAAGAAAGTGTTTTCTTTTGAGCACAGGCCCTAAAATCGCATGTCATATAGCCTATTACTATTCACAGGACAGGACACTGAATAATGTAGAATAAAATACCAAGCTATACAACACCCCCGCCCTTTTTTTTTTCCATTTTCCAAAAGGAAACACTATTTCCTCCAAAGGAAGCATTTAGCATCAGAAAGGATGGTTTACACAGATACTATTTCACTTCTCAATGCTGCTTCCACTCTGGGCGTGGCTGAGGTATCCAAGTAAACAGAATACTCAAATCTGCCCAACTGGACAAATTTTAAGCAGGCACAGCAGCTTACATGTAGGGATTCCATGTCACAGAATGTCAGTATAGCAGCCATAGCAACTAAAGGGTAAATTCACTTAGCTAAACATCCAGGTCCCATAAGGACAGGGCACTCCCAGCCTCCAGGCCAGCTCCTCTGAACGATCTCGCTTAGCAAAATCTCACAGGGAGCTGGGAAAAACAATTTTTGCATGTGTACCAGAATCAAAGATTCATGACTTTGGGGAGTTACAGGGACCTTAAAGATCATTTAATCCCAAGTCCCCAACGTTCCAGATGATAATAAAACCAACAAGTAGAAAGTGACACGATGTGACAAGGTCACGCCTTAAACCAGAACCCAAGACCCCTGGCTCCCTTCTGTCCCTGCTGGCCTTAGAGAAAGACAACAAGAATAAGGAGTAAAAGAAGCCCAAGGGGTTTTCCTCCTTTTTCTGAAGAAACCTACTGTACCAAGCCAAACATGAGGGTGACTAAGAAAACGTACTTACAGCCAAGTCAAACTGATTAATGAGGCCTGGAGCTGGTGTCTTGGGTACCTGGAAATGCTTACTCGCAAAACCTTGAGCTTCAACTCCTCTGCTACACTCCAATTTCTCAGAAAAACAAAAGCTGTTGTTGCTCTGTTTCTACTTGGCACCCAAACCTGAGCGACTGCACATTTAAAATAACATTCCATTCCACACATCTGATTCGAGACTAGGTAATGAGATGACTGGAGAGAGAAAAGAAGGCAACATGACATGTGGCGACCAGAATGATGGCATAGAACCATGGTTAGGGCTCCGTGTACTTCTAACTTGCCCTGGAAGGAAGGACGGTGCAGATATTTCTTCTTGCTGAGCCATGCTCTGGCATTTTAAAGAAGGTCGTCCGTAGAGATTTGAGATTCTTGGAGGCACACATTCTACATGGGGGCTGGTAGCCCACGGTGAGGTCATTTGTTCCCTGCTCCCCAGTACTCCTCCACTGACTTCCCCTCCTTTCTTTGTGACTGTAAGGGTGTGGCATCTGGGATTTAGGCTTGGGCACATCCTCATGGTTAAAAGACAAAAAAAAAAAAAAGTACTAAGAAGTGCAAAACTCATAGCAAAATGCAGCTATGAGGGCAGCTCTCTTAAGCATTTAGGGAGTTAAATATTCATTTGTTTTGCTATTTGACAGGATTCTTAACCATTCCTTAAAACAGGAAACCTATTCAGTAGATAGGACGGTGCTACAGCGAAATGACCTTTACCATTTTTCTATTAGTAAATTAAAAACAAAGCTCATTGCCCACTGGCAAATCCTGCCACCCGATGGGAACGGAAAGACAAGCGCATTTTAGCAAGTTGAGGAGTAACAGGTTCATTTCAGTTCCTCATGCATTGATTGCTCCTGACTCCTCCTGTGCTCCCGGGACACCAGGCCTTCCTCTTCTCCATATTACAATCTCCCTGCATCCCGCCTCTGATGTGTCTGCACAGGCCTACCTTTCAGGCCATCACAAGAGCTCATCTGCTGCAGGGAGCTGAAAAGAGGGGCTGACACTGTGAGGAGAATCTGAAAAGAAGATGAAGTCTGAACAGCGATAGGTCAGGATTTAAAACCAAGGAGGAGGCAGAAAAAGGTTTCCAGGAATTTCTAAAGAATGGTTTCTTTCCTTTTTTTTTTCTGCCTCGGTCCATCTAAATATAGCCTGTTTTTTAACGCTCAGAAAATGGCCAAGTTTAACTGAAATAAGTTCATCATACAGGCAACCAACAATGATGTCACTGCTTTCAATTCTCTTGCCGTCTTTCCATTCCCTCCCCGCCCCAAACCTGCACACGCGCATTACAGACACATCAAGGTGTTTCTACCCAGGCCGGTGAGATGGATTAGTCTCGCCACGCAGACCTGAACAGCATTGCCAGCGGTGAGCGCAGGATTGAGAGTGGAAAGCGCAGGGCTGGGTTTGCTTACTGGCTAGGTCGCCTTGGGGAAGTTCCTTAGCCTCCTTGCGCCTCAGTGTTCTGTCGCAATGACAAAATGGGAATGAGAAGAACACGGTGGTTGTGTGGACTTAATGAGTAATATATGCAAAGCACTTGGAACAGGCTCTGCACAAGCTCAACATTTAAATGTGTAAGCTTTACGAGTTTCTAGTACTATGACCTACGATGGTAAGTAATTAAGGTGGGCTGCCACCAGGATCCTGGAAGTCCCTGGGCACTGGCTTTCATTTATTCATTTTCAACCTGTATTATTATCGTCTTGAAAAAGGCCAATTTTTTTTTTAAGACTGTTTAAACAGAGAAGAAATTGCTGACTGGGGCACCTGCCCCAGGCTCTCACCTACAAGCTGCCAACTGCTACTGGGCTGTATGTTCTCTCCTTTGCTTCTGCTGGTTCAGCCTGTTGACTAATGTCTCCATGTGATTAAACTGGCTTTGGGTAGTGAAAGAAAAATGAGGTATCTAGCGTCGGATGCTCTGGAGTAAATGGGGAAGTCTCATTACCCTACGATGTGCCCAGCAGATTGTCCTACATCAATGACGTGAAAATCTTTAAAGGGTTAACCCTCCAATGCCTCTTGCTCCTGCATATCGGGTTTACACAGAACTGGTAGCTGGCCTCCCACGACAATCGCCTTTGAGGTTTGGAGGAGGGGCGCTGGACTCTGCCTGTGGCCTGCTGTTTAGGCCGTGGCTGTTTTCCCATGTGGTCAGCTGCCTCCTACCTGTTTGGTCCTGCTTAGGGCAGACTGGGTGTGTGGTCTTATCACCTACCTACAAGGGCTACATTCCAGCTATTGCAATTCCCTCCTCACAAGGGCGCCCTACCCCCGCCTCCCCCAACCCGTCCATGGGTTTTCACCCAAAGATGAACCTGTTATACACATGGAATGATCTATTTTAAAAAGTTGATGCTCCATTTTAAACATTCAAACAGCTATAAGCAGAACAGGTATCAGAAGATAGATTTTTTTTTTTAAGTGAGTTCCATTCCCTCCTCCCTCTACCTTCTTTTGGTCCAGATCTACCAACAATGGCAGAACTATCTACCAGCACCCTCAAAAGCAATCCACATAAGCACATAGTTTAAGTAAACACAGGGTGTTTGCTACCCAAACATGATACCAAGAGATGCCCCTTACCCAACCCCTTCCAAACAGATTTCTGCCCCTAAGCTTCTCATGTACAGAATTTGGGAAGCCCCCCCACCCCACCCCACCCCTTACTATCTAGAAGGTCAGTAGAGACCAAGGCTGTTGGCTTTTCATGATAAATATCTCCATTAGTAAAAGGACTTCTCAGTGACGTAAATCATGAGACCAGATGAGAAGTTAAACTTCACTGGACATAAGTCTTAGGAGAGCAGAGCTTACACCCTCTACTTCTTCCCCTTTGCAGTGGGTGTCACAGGGCTTTCTAAGGCCTCGGTCCAGACACCTACCTTGATGGTCTTCACCAGGTTGGCGGTGCTGTTGGCGACCTCCTTGGCTGACTGGACAAAGTGCCTCTTGGCCACTGGGTTGGCTGTCTTGGACGAGGCGATGCGGCAGGCGTTACACAAGGCTGAGGTGTGCTTAGCGACAATTGTGGCGGCTGACAGAACCTACAAGGCATGGAGCTGGGTTGGGGGCACCCCATGCTTCGGTGCAGAGGGGTCTAGTTCAGAGGAGTCCACCCTGGTCCCGAGCCCTGAATTCCTCTTCAACTCCCATGTCCAGGGCCCATGTAATTACAGCATACATGTCTAGCTGTGTCACCCGCAATCGCTCTCCAAGAAAGGAGAGGACAAGCACGATTAAACAAGAGAAAACAGAGAAAAGGAAAGGAGGTGCTGGTGTGGTGGTGAGAGGGGACTGGGCTCCAGATAGTCTGAAGGGAGGGGCAGTCAGCTATCCTTTGGAACCCCTGCAAGGAAGCATTTGGTGCAGGGTCTGGGGCCAGCGCTACCCAACAGAAATGTAACGTGAACCACATGTGCAATTTTTTAGCACATTAAAATAAGTAGAGAAACAAGAGAAATGAATTTAAATAATATACTTTATTAAAGATATATCCAAAATATTTCGCCATGTAATCAACTGAATAATATTATTAATGAGATTTTACAATCTTTTCTTATCATACCAAGTCTTCAAAATCCAGAGTGTACTTTACACTGACAGCCTGCCACAATTTGGACTAGCTACATTTTAAGAGCTTAATAAATAGCCACATGTAGGCAGTGGCGACCACAGTGGAGAGTCTAGGTTTAGAGTGAAATAAACATCAGAGGGTGATAGCTCCTGCCTCATCCACAGGGGGCTGTGGGCACCTTATTAATGAGTCCAGCTCAGGAATCTTCCAGGCTCTACCCCACAAACCAAAATGCTCTCTTGAATCCACCAGATCTACTTTGCTAAGGCCAAAGGTGGCATCCCTTTGGCCTTAATGGGACAGGTAAGGAATCTCAGGTACACCAGCGCCTTACAAACCAGCTGGGAACTGCTTTAGCTCCAGGTCATCCCTCCATTACCTCCTTTACCAGGCTCCTTCTCCTGCCTCAAGAACACCGGTCCCAGGGTTCATGATGGACGTGCCACTCCTGGGCTGCCTCTGCTACCCTGTATAGGCCAGCTCTTGTTCCATTCAGCACATACTACCTTAGTAAGTGAACGGGACTCCATGACACTTGAGTATTAGAAGTGTCACGAATGTCACACGCTGTCTAGTCCTAAAAGGTCTACGGCTTCTTTATGCATCGTGGATTGCGACCTAGCTCGGAGACCTGGCTCAGCGCCATCATCTCTGTGAGGTGACCTCTGACAGCCCCTCAGAAAATCCATCACACCTTCCTCTGTGCATCCCTGGCATTGTCATCACAGCCCAATTACTGTTATCTTCCAAACTTTATCCAACAGACTAACAGCCAAGGGCCTGGGGACCAGGTCATACTCATGCTGACCCGTAGTGCTGAGCACAGAACAAGCCCTCCACATATGCCCTCTGAGCTGAATGGAATCGTGAGACTCCTGATGAATCTCATGGTGATTAGTTTACTCCTGCAGCCTTCCAGCATCCCATTTCAGAGCACCTACACATTTCCGCTTTCACCACATTCCGCAATATCCCCCCAAATCATTATCTACAGTGCTACATTTAGCTGGCTTGGCAAGCTCTGTAAGAACAGTATTCTTTACTAATTTCTCACCCTCTCCCACAACCCACCTACAGATCTCATAGCTTCACCCCGTGGTTACCTGTGATGGGCTGCTACCAGGGTCCACCAGGTTCTGGCATGCCATCTGGATGGCCTGGTTAGCCCTGGCAAACTGGATGGGGTCCACAAGGCCTTGGTGGCCTGCCTGGCTGTTTGGATCAGAGATTCCGACAAGGTATGCAGCCTGGAAAGGGAGGAGAAAAACCACAGCTCAGGCTCTGTGCTCCTAGGTGTGCCCGTGCAGGACAATGGTCCTGCAATGTACATGCAGCAGCCATGCTTGGGGGCTCCTTAGTGCAAGTCGGTCAGGTAATCTCGTCAATAAGGGTTTAGGGATGGACAGGTGAATGCCAGCTTGGGCCAGGGACACAGCTGGAGTTTGCTGTAGGCTGCTGGGAATAAAGTCTCTTTGTTCTTAAGAAAGCCTCAAGAAGCTTTTCTGTGGGGCAGGAACAAGGATGGGTGCAGCCATTATGACTATAAGGGTACGCAGCCTCAGCATGAAGCTGACTCTCTGGCTGGCAGGTGGGAGAGGCAGAAAAAAGTGGGTGCAGACTGACAGCATGGAGCTGCTGAGTCAGCCACCACTACAGCCTGCCCTACATGAGACGAACACATCCTTATTGTTTAGGCCAGTATTTCTAATAAAAAGATGAATGAGAAAGATGGCTCAGGGGGGATAAAAAGGCAGTATTATTAGTATTTGGTCTCTAAGAGGACAAGCGTCTACAAGAGGTCTTCTCTTTAAACCCCCTGGATGTGTTAGCCACATAACAGGGAGAAAATGAATCTGTGAGCAGGAATGTGAACCTTAATTCATTTCCCCTGAGATTTGAGGGGCAAGATAAGGAAGGGTAGATAATTTTATCCCCCAAACTAGGGATGTTTTTCTTTGGTTTAGTAAATTCTTCTAGGCTCAAAGTAATTTTCAAATGATAAATCCTTCAAGGTAAATGTTGACATTTTTGAAGCTTCAGTCCCATGAGTCCAATAATTATTGGAAATACACAGGACAGTGGAAGAAGAGCAAGGAACATGCTTGATCACGTCTCTGCATGATGGCATCTCATTTGCTCTCCCTCTGATGTGAAGAAGACCATGACTAAGACTTTTGCAATTCTAAAACCTCAGAGAGAATGTGAATTATGTAATGCCTATTTCNTCCCCCTCCCCCGCCTCCACCCCCAGACAACTCATCTGTAACAATGACCTTACAAAAGAAAAAGGCAAGCTGGCCTCTGAACCCTAGTGCTGGGTCTGCAGTGGTTAGTGTGTCTCACTGTCCCTTCCAGGCTGCTCTGCTCCTGGAGGGTAACTTAGCTGATGTTTTGTCTAAAGCCCAGCCAACACAGGAGGCACTGCCTTTTCCATGGTTTCTGCTGTAGAAGTTGAGTAAGAAGCTGGAGCTGGGGCTCCCCCATGCCTCCCACAGGGACCTGGTACTCTCATATCCACAATCTGGCACAGGACACAGGCTGCATTGCAGGACAAGGGGACCACCCCGCCCCTTACCTGAGCTGCTGCCTCTGTCAGCCCACAGAGAGCCTTGGATGCAATGCCCACACACTCTCCAAAGGCAGGAAGGTCTCCGGTCTTGGCATTCTGTGAAATCCCTGCCATCGACTCGCCCAGAACCTGTAAAACAAACAACCAGCAATATACTCTGACAAGCATTCCTTCAAACCATGGGGTAAAGGGGCTACACATTCAACATTAACATTCAAGGCCACTTAATTTATAGTATTTGCCATTATTTGCATTAAGAAGAGATTCAAGAGACTTATATTATTTTTGTTGCTTAAAGAGAAATGAATAATGAAAGTATAAACCTTTTCCCCAAAAGTTATCTGTATCTCAAGCAGATATAGTTAATATACTCAGATCAATAAAGTAAAATCAATACAGGGCATCCCATGGGTGAATGGTCTGAACTGAGAAATGTTAGTTCCCAGAATAAAGCTTCAGACACATCCATTGAGTTGTAGATGAAGTCATAACCAGAAAACAGAAGACACGCTCTTCCTGATATTATTCATTTACTTATTGACAGCAAAATTTAAAAGTTTTTAAAAAGTAAAATAAGTAGGTAGATAATCTGAACATTAATAAAGGTGTTTCCTAACTTTTGTAAGCATTTCCCCTTATTTGAATATCATTGGTATATCAGTATTCTTTCTTCTCAGGTCTTTAAACTAACAGCTACAAGGGATTTTAGTATTTAGAATCCAACCCAGAGAGGTCAAGCACCCTGCATAAGGTCACAGACAAAGTCATGGGCCGAGGCAGGACACCTGCCTCTTATCTGGTATTCTGTCTTCTATGGGCCTCATAAGGCCCTAAGAGGGCAGGTTCTACTTTGCAGGGTCACAGATGATGGAGCTGAAGGCTGTTCAACACAACCCTTTGGAGAGACTATGGGATTGCTAAGTCTAGAACCCAATATAGAGCTCTTTTCTGCCAGCAAGCCATTTTGGATGGGGGAGAAAAAGAAATTCCCTAAAATTGCTTTGCTATACAAAACAATCCAGTTTACCTAAGGAATTGCAAAGCAAAGAAGTTAGAGAGTATTTTTATGTGCAACGTTTTCCTTTCCCTAACCCTGCACCCCTCTTTGGCTCTAAGTATGTAAAACATATGCATCCTCCTCTTAGACAATCCATAATTCCATAAAGGATGCTGGATAGAGCAAACTCTAGTCTTTGCCCAAAGTGGGCCCTTCCTGACATCACCAATACAGATGTCTCCCCAAAGTGAATGTAAATTGATGGAAGTAAACATGCACTCGTGCTCCAAGTACAAAGCCAGACTGCAACTGTTCAATATCCATTATCTCACTTGCATTTCATTTGGACCCGATTTTGAGGCATTCTCAAAAACATCAATATTATCATTATCCTAGGTCAATATTTCTCAACCTTTTAAAAAATTATTATTGCTCCACTAATAAGTTATAGTATTTTCCCCCTAATTACCACAGACATCAAATTAAATACAGTAATACCTTGGTTTGCAAGCATAATTTTTTCCGGAAACAAACTACTTGTATTGCAAGACATTGCTCATTTACCACGTTAAAATGTATTAGAAATGTTTGCTCGTCTTGTGGAATACTTGCAAACCAAGTTACTCGCAATCCAAGGTTTTACTGTACTAAGAAATAAGATTTTGTTGAGTAAGGTTAAGACTGGGGTGGGGGGGTTGGGGAGCACAAACCTTTGTATTATGATTATCTTAGGTTTTCCTATCCCCCAAAGCGCTCCCTCCAATTTTTCACCCCTCCTTCGGAATGTATGCCATGGATGGATGGCAAAAGGACAAGAGGGTCTCATATAAGCAAGATCACCGAAGGGCTTTCCCCAGGAGTTCAATCCCAGGTGAAGAAAATACATGTTTCAATTCACAATGAGACCCATCTGTGATATGGTATAAGCCGTGGTTCTCAAAGTGTGGCTTCTGGACCACATGGGCAGGACCTGGGAACTTGTCAGAAATGCACAAGCTCAGTCGCACCTCAGATCTACTAAATCAGAAGCTCAGGGGTGGGGCCCACCAATCTGTGTTGAACAAGACCCCGAGGTGATTCTGGTGCATGGTCAAGTTTGAGAAGCACTGGAGCAAAGGGCTCCACAATGAGGCTTTAGGTTATGTGCAGCCTCAGGGAGTGGCGAGAGGCCAATGCATGCAAAGCACACCTAGATTTTTTCCCCACACGGAAGAGTGATGTTAAGAGCACAGACAGGCTTACCTTGGAGTTTTCCATCACACTCTCAATGCAGTCAAAGTAAGAGAGGTCACTAACAGGCTCATTAGGATTGTCCAACATCCCCTTAACAGTCTGCAGATGGACAACACAATTTTAAAAGCAAGCAGGTGTTACAGAATAAGAGGAATTCAACATAAAATGCCAACTATGAACTTCACCTCCATGTACAGGACTCGGGTCACGGTCACTCATTTACCTAGATTCTTGAGAGGAATTTAGATCAGAGTATCCATGAGCTCATATTTCCTGCTAAAAACACAACCCTGGAGGCTGGGGGGTTGGGGGCAGGTCTCAGGTTAGCTTTGACAGACAGGAGAATCTGGTTTTCAGGTTTGAAGAAGTATAGTAACTACAGAAAGGGGAGATTTTTCTCTTAAAATTTTTTGAAAGTTAATGCAAGACAACATATTCATGGTAAATTAGTACAGTGTCTCTGCTGCCAAGAAGTTTAAATTTTGAGGACACACTAACTCATTTCTTCATGATTATTAGAACCCTTGGTTTTCAATTCTTGAACCTTTTAATGGGTAGGCATGACAGACAGTAAGTCCCCAAAACTGCCCACTGGGATGGTTTAGTTTTCATTTAAACAGTATATAAAATGCTCACGCTTGCTTAGGTCCCCATCAAGGCGTTGGGGATGGGGCTTGCCTCTTCTTTGTCTCCACGCCACTGAAATCATCACTGGCTTTCTCATCTTGTAATAACCTTTTATGATCACTTAGGAGACAGGAAAGTCTGGGGATACAGCCATTCCACCTCCTCCCCATTGAGTGAGAATGTCCATTCGGATGGCAGCTTTTGGGGCACAGCCACCAGAAAGACAAGGTCATTTGAGTCACAAAGGGTTGGGGGGAAGTAATGGTGGAAACTGCTGAGTTACTCAAAGATCTGAGGGAAAGAGCATGAAGTAGGAGCTCATCTCAGTGAAGAACCTCCTCCCATTCCTTGCATAATCAAAATTGCTTCAGTAACAGCAATGCTGCAATAGTCATAATTTTGGCGACCAAGGATACCATTAAGGGACACAGTATTTGCACCTAGGCCAACAGAGCTCATTTATTTAGATCAACGGCCCACATATCATTTATATCTGAACAGACCAGAATAGGGCAGTAATTCACCCAAGGCCGGAAACACTCTCCACTGTTTTCTGAATGTTTCAGTCCCATGGAAACAAGCCTCTTCTCACTTCCAGCTGTGCACAATGGCCTATTGCCATCCTCAGACTGGGCCTCAATCAAACCCTTCAGAAGCTGCAACCAACCCCCACCCCTTCTGGCATGGTGGGTACTCCCACCATGACAGACCCATGCTAATCATCTAGAAAACTAAAGTCACACTGGGTACAACCAACTCATATCTACTGAGATACCCATTTGGCTGTTTTAGTATAACTACATTGGTTAGGACAATTGGTAGACACATTGATTTTATGTTTACCCACATACAGTCTATGGGCTTAAATGAATTTGAAATTACAAATAAATGGTAGGTGTGAATATAAATGGAAAAGTAACACACTGTGTGCTGGGCCACTGAGGGCCCCACAGGCACCTTGATTGTATAGTAATAAGCGCCATTCCTGGGTTTCCTCTTACATGGCCCCTACATGTTACAATATAAAATGTACAGGGAAATCATTTTTACTCCACAGCCCATCAATCCTAGCTTCTCCCAAATGCACCAGAATAATCTCTCCCAAACGTTTCAGGTAGAGATTGTTCATCTTAAGCCTCCACCCAAGTCCATACGCCTCTTCCTGTTTGAAATAAAGAATCCTTTAACAAAATAACTCTCATCCTAGTGGAAATGGGGAAAGCAAGGGTGATAATCCCACCAAATCTAATCTTTATTCAGTTCCTTCCCACTTGGGTTGGAACTTTGGCCCCAACAGTCTCCCAAGAAGATCAAGTGCAAGGAGAAAGGAGAAGGAATTGACCCTGAGGGAAAGGACAGACAGACAAACACTCTACAATCCTCACACCTGCCCAGGGACTCACCTCGAGCTCCCGCAAGGCGTTGTCACACTCTTTCTGGCCAGGAGCTTGCTGGGTGCACAAAGTGATGAGTTGATTGATGCTCTCTGTCACGGCTCTGTGACAGAAACAGAAAAAGTGAGGTGTTTTGTTTTTGTTTCTTTTTTCAGCTGGGGCTCAGCTAGAGCCCATGTGAGAATCGAATGGAGGACCCTGTTGCTCAGAGCTCCTGCTCTTGAGCAAGCTCTTAACCAACTGAGCCACTCATCCAGCCTGAGGTGTTTTGTTTTTAAAGATCAACAGCAATTTCCCCAACATGCCTTGTGGGTTCACTAGAAATATGTACAACTAATTCACTGCATAGCCTGAGGGCCCCAGGAGGGCTCTTCTCCAAGGCCCTAAAGAACCCAAACTAAACCATACCCAGGGAAGAGAAAGAGAATCCTTACCTGGCTTCTGATTACTGGTTTGATTTATCCTTAAAGGGTACTAAAAGTTCTCCTAAGTAAGTGTGACTATCTTTTAATATATTCATAAGAAAGAATTCACAACAATGTTGCAAAGAGCAGAGAGATCATATTAACACAGTTTTCAAGATCCTTCATTAGCAGCCCATCAAAAATAAAGTGATTGAAACAAGGCTATTTTGGATCACCTTTATATAGTTTGGAATATTTTGTATATTTTTAGATATAGTGATATATAGTAAACTATGCCTATGATTTTAAAATACCTACTTTCCATTAAATTCTACATGATTGACTGACTCCTAGAAGCAATCCCAAAATTCTTTAAAATCGTTATTTTCTAGAATAACAACAACAAAAATAAATAAGACAAAAAAAAAAGGAAAAGGAAAAAAGAAAAACCCCAAATAGTTATTTTCTTTGTTACTATTAATAGGAATTACTAATTAGAGACCCTGTGTTTCTATTCTTCTTAGGACTTAAAAGGCAGCCCAGATATTTTTTTCAAGGATTGGGAATCCAACTATTTTAGCACCATTTGTTTAAAAGGCTATCATTTCTCCATTGAATTGCTTTTGCAACTTAGTTGACAATCTACTGGCCATGCCTGTGTGGGTTTACTTCAGGACTCTATTCCACTGACCTGTGTGTCCAACCTTTCACCAACCCTTCTAACCACACCCCTTTGATTACTGGAGCTTTATCCTAAGTTTTACAATTGAATACCCTTGTGTTTTATAAATGAAAAAACAGAGAAGTAAGATAATTCCTAACAGGGATGCTATGAGTAATGAGCAGACACAAGACTTACACCCATGCCTATCTGCCTCAAACACTTTTCTGCAGGGTCATAACTGGTCCACATTTCCGGCAGGGCCCTGCATTCTATTTACAGTTACTAACAACTGCAGCTAGCGCGCAACTTAAAACGAAAACAAAATGGGCACATATGGCCGTTAATCGTTAACACTGCCTAATGTAAGAGACGCCTCATTTTATTAGTTTAAATGGCTTTGCAGCTTCCCACAGAATATCAAATTAGATGGGAAAATTATATTGCTAATGCACCAAGGCAATCGGCTTAATTATTTGATGAGGTCCTGCTTTGAATTTTAAGTTTAACAGGGGTGATGAGAAGAAGAAAAACATTCCTGAACTCAAGAAAGAATCCCCAAATAGTTTTTGCAACACTGACTTGAGTCATTCATTTATTAGGGGAAAAGTCAGTAATTGAGGTCCATTGGGAAGCCTGTGTCCTCCATGGTGCAAAGCAAAACAAAAACCACTGAGATGGCAGGACAATCCCTAGTTCCGACCACCTTGGAGGATGCATCCATGACGTGTCCCTCAGAGAGTCCAACACTGTGTTCTGTGTGGTCACCTTCAAAAAACTTGGGGTGAAAAAAAACCAACAAACCAACAGACGAGGAGTTGTAGTTAGATAATCCATGAAAGTGCCAACACAGCACTGCCTGTCTGAATGAGTCACTTGGCTAATAGTGATCCATGACTAAGGAGCATTATTGAAGTATCATTTATTCCCGTAATTCAGCTTTAGAGTCTGGATTACCTAGCCAAGTAATAAACTAAGTGACCCAGAGGCAAATGTTTATATAGATTTGACAATGAAAAATAATATTTTTATGTTTAAAACTATAGCAGTTATTTACAAGAGCAATGGTTTGGAGGCAATCCAAATAGGCAATGATAAAGGATTGACTAGATAAACGTATAGTCCACAACAGAATTCTGGGCACCCATTAAAAGTCATAACGTATAGCATATCCTTAACATCATAAAAGAATATTCATAATACACAATTAAGTAAAATAAAATTTACAAAACAGTATAAACAGTATGAGGCACAACTGTAAAAATAAATATATAAAAATGTTAACAGTGATTGCATATTTAAGAAAAAATTTTCATAAATCTACTAAAAATTATGAATTAATCAACTTACATTATGATTTTAAAAATGGCAAAAATTAGTAGTGTTCTCCCTCTGTTCTATATAAACACAAATAGGCCTGAACTATAGTTATTTTTTTCCCATGATTTTTAAAATGATCAAAGCTATATAAGTTTATTTTATAAACTTAAAAAAGTTAAGTGACCATACTTCATCATCTAGAGATAGCATTTTCTTAGATTTTATTCTTTAGTAAGCATATATAGCCAGTCTCAGGTTCTAAAAAGTTGGATCTACAACCTGAGAAGTTTAAAAAGACTTTCTAGCCTATCAATCATTTTGTATTTCGAGATACTGAATTGATTTAACTGAAGTTTGGGAGCTCTGGTGGGAAATTTTAACTAGCTATGGAACTGAGCCAGGGGTGAGAGAAGAAAATCAAACAATTTGTGCTTTGGATTATGTATTAAGCACAAATTATCCAATAAGGAGCTCGGAGGGAAAAAAGCGGCATCAGACAGTTCCCTTCCTCAAGGGAGGAAGTGCTTAGGGAGGGAGTAAATAGCAAAATGAAATTCATCTGTATTTCCTGGGTTCTGCTATGCACAGGCTTGGGGATTATAAGTAATACAAGGGATTATAAAATATAAGCTCTCTAGGACAGCAAGGTGCTTGCAGTCCAGTTGGAGAAGCAAGACAATGACCAGACAAGACACAAAGAAGGTGAGTCACACGAAGCTGTGATGGGGGTAAGAGACCAGAGAGGATGCGATGGATCCTGAACCTCTGAGAGGCCAGATGCATGTGGGACTTCTAGGAAGCATGGAACAGAGTTAATCAAGGCCTTGACTGTGGGCATGGTTTCTGCATGGAAAGGGGCACTCAATGTGGAATGGAGTCATGCCTGAGTGAGATCATGATTTGGATAAAGGGAAGAGAACATTCTCGAGGAGACCAATAGACAGAAGGCCCAGTTTACATTTTTCTATTTTATAGCTTAAAGTGCTGCTTGCTGGGTCATCCTTTTTCACAGTCTCTGGAGACAGGAGAAAGCCTGCTCAACAGGAACCTTAAACCAGATGGTGGACAGGGAAGAGAAGCCACCTGCAGGGTCCTAAGGAGTGCCCCCAGGGGACAACAAAGCAGCTTAAAGAAAACACAGCCTGGAAGCGACTGGTTAGCTCCGTTGGTTAGAGGATGGTGCTGATAACACCAAGGTTGCTGGTTCAATCCCCGCATGGGCCACTGTGAGCTGCACCCTCCTTAAAAGAGTCAACTATGCCATTGTAGCATGAAAGCAATGTGTAACCTATGACCATGGTTGTTCCCCAGTAAAGTTAAAAAAAAAGAAAAGAAAACACAGCCTGGGATGGGTCCGATGCTGACAGCTCTATGTGGGAAGTCTTTCTGACTCAGGAGTCCTGGCCAGGGTGACTGTAGTATGAACCTCTGCTCTGGGGAAGTGCTCCGAGGAAGGATACGCCCTCTTTCTCACAACTGCAAACTGGTTTTCCATTTCCTTGACTAAGTCCTGGGAGCCTCAGAGCAGCCCCTGGGCAGGGAAAATGCTGATGAATGGTTGACAAAGGGTCTCCAGCTCCACCCAACTCATCAGAAAAGAGCCAGAGCCCACCTGTTCCACAGGAAGACGATGAACAAGCCAGATACTCAATAGAAAATGACTTCCTTCCCACTAGGCATCAGATACCAAGGGACCGGGTTCCTCAAAGGTCCCTGGGCTCAGAGGCAGAATGAAGAGCAGAGGAGAAAGACATACTCTGTCAACTGCTTTTTCAGAAGCACACCTCTTCTCCCAAAGCGGGAAGGATCACAGAGCCCACCAAGAGCAAGGGGCTCAGGTCTGCTGACCTAGAAGCAGGGCAGGGCCAAGTTCATCCAGGCCTGGGTCCCCCACAGCGGCATCTCTGGGGCCTTTGGGGACATCCATATGAAGGCAGATCAGAGAGTGACTGAAGCGAGGTCAACGGTCATCAGGTCCCTGCTGCTCAACTCCAAGGGCACTCACATACAGGATGTTGTGAGGCCCAGATGTCTCATGCCCTCTGTGTGCCATCTGCCTGAACTCCACCAGGGCCATCTCTGTCTCATTCACAGTGTGTGCCCAGCACCCAGCATTGGTCCTATCCCATGTCTGGCATGTGATAAAAGTATGTGTAAGGAACACATGAAATAACAAGAGAATAAATGCACCCCAAGTGGGGAGAGCTTTACCTCTCAAGAGGAAGCCGCCTGACTCACCGGAACTACTGGGAGCTTTGTTGGGAAACCACCCCAGGGAACAGAGCTTGCTTGCCAACATGTGCCAAGAAGCCAGGAGGAGTGTGCCAGCATCTCTTGCAACAGTTCCATCCCGATAAAATCATTTCACGTGATGATTTTTAAGTGTTTACTTGGCTATGAGCCATCAGGCTAGGAACTTCTGTCAACTGCTGAAAGCCAGGACAGAGGCAAAGGAAGGTTTTTCACCCAAGTCTCTAGGTCCTTTCTTAAATGTCACCACCAGGGGGCCTTCAGATACCCTCAGAGCCATGACACCAGCAACATTTCTTCCAGGTCAGTGTTTCCTTCCTTAACTGGCTTTCCAAAGGCCAACGCATACTCTCCCCTTCTTCCCACAATTTGAGAGAGTGAACAACACATTCTAAGTTGGAAATCGTAATTCTGAAATGATGCAAAAAATTGAGATAATGAAAAACATCTGAGTTCAGATACCTGGAAACGCTGGTTGCCTTATCCCAAGGCTCTTTGTAGGAAAAAAGAGCAATCAAGGGAGGGTTTATATCAGAAACAGCTGCTCAACACCACACATGTCACCCCCTCCCCCAGTACACTCCCACACGGGGAGGGCACTTGCTTTAATGGAACAATCACAAAACGAAGAGTAAGATGGAAGTGGGGAAATGTGAGGATATTTTTTCAATCTCCTAGCGGCTCTGGTTAGTGTTTGAAGCTGAAGTATATACTTGGGAATCAATGAAGAAACCCAAGGGTTTTCAGAGGAATTGCCCTCATTTGTCTACTAATCCACAGCCCCCCAAGTAACACTACAAGCCACGAGGGGACCAGAGACAGGTTTTAATCATGAGTACCATGATATCTTATGTCTCGAGAACCGTGACGAGCTTTGGGGTGCTGTGGCACCCCCCCCCCATTTTGCAGATGAGAAAGTAGATGGTTTGAATGACTTGACCAGGGTCACCTAGTTAGTCAAGTATTAACCCCTGGACTAGAATAAAAACAGCCATTGAGCTCTCAGGAGAGACAGAAACAAAAAAAAACAAATGAGTCAACAAACAAAACCAAGTTAAAAAAAAATTGTAGATTTTAAGCTATGCTTCTTGTAAGTCACTAACCTGCACATTTGAAAAGTTTCCAATTATGCTTTGTATCCTAATTGCCCTGCATTTACTCTCTCTACTATCAGCTTTCCTATACATAAAGGGATGTCAGATAATAAGAAAATATGCCGATACCACCACAGAAATGTAGAATGCCCTATCCATTCGGGTCAGAAATACGAATGTGAGACTGTTAATATAAGATTTTCGTGGGCTGTCACTACAGCTTCTCCACATTACCAGCATTCAGTCACTTGTTATTGTGCTCAATTGCCACAGTGGCCCTGGAGCAGAAATCGTATTGTATTACCCACCTCCTTGGGTGAAAACAGCAGGAAAGAAGATCAATGACATCAGCCAAAACTCAAATTCACGTTTTAATATATTTCCAAGAACAATTTATGTCCACTGCTTCTCCATTTATCCTAAACCAGAACCATTCTGCATGTGACAAGTTGAACACATTTAATTGGCATCTAATTGAACATCTAATTAACATGGCTTCCAGGCAGATAGTAAGTGCTGAAGAAATGCTGAATGGCTAGCTGAGTATCACTTTCTGTTTGATACTCCTCAGGATTTTCTGATTTATTTTCCAATGAGCACATATTACTTTCATAATCTGAAAGATATAACACTACTTTAAAAACGACACTTAAGCCATAATATTTATAAATCACTGGGGAGGCCTTAGTCTAAGCAAGTCTAACTGAAAAGGCTGTAAGAGAAGACAGACATCTTTAGTGGGCAAAGCACATGAAAATGAACCATTTTAATAAAACACCAGCGTCTCCATCACTCTTGACTCCACCTCTGACAACGTAAGGACAGCACCAGTTCTTCGCTCAGCACAAGCAGCAGGACGTCGGGCGTAGCTTTCAAACACTGACACTGTTTATCAACCCATGAAAGCTCATTTTGTTTCACTCTTACCTGGCAGCTGCAGCTAGGAGGTTTTTCGCATTGGGGGCTCCTGGATCTACAGAGAGAGACTTGGCAGCTAACAACAGCTTGCTGGATGCCATCGAGATGTTCTTGAGGTTCCCTATCACCTGGATCTGGTCTTCTTTGGTCTGGAAGGTCAAAAGGAGCCCGAGTAATTAGGGAGGCTCCATTTCTCCTACGAAGCATTCAGAGAGCTAGGAGCAGCATCCTGCCACGGAAGCAAGTTACTTGTATAGACTGCATTAAGCCCAATTAGTCTAATTTGTTGGGACACTGACCAGTGTCTACCCTTCCCCAAACAGATACCCAGACCAAGAGTCATGGAACAGGACAGAAAGCCACCCCCAAGTGGGTCAGCCAAGAGCTGTGCTATCTCACAAGTGGAGGCACTAAAAGGAGGGGGAGGGAGGGAGACAGAGAAAGCACGCGCGTTCCTGCTCAACAATGCTGGAGTTGTCAAGGAGCTCGCACATCTCAGCCTGGCACAAACGACCAGCACTGTCTCCATATTCCGAGCTGACTGCATCCCAGAAGTTCCTGGCTCGGGCGAGGACACATTTCTCACCTGGCTTGCCATTGAGAAACAAGCCTTTGTAGATAACAGAGGAAGAAACAGCCCAGGTATCTCCTGGGGGAGTTCACAGGAGCTCAGGAAAAAACAGCTCTGCAAGCGGACACCAGACTGGTCATGCTCCCTTGTTCTAAACAAGGGGTTTATCTGTCCGTTTGAAGGAGGTAATTTTTAATCTTTTGACACTCAGTATTTGACACAGTCCCTTCAGATGGGCCTGCCGAGCCTAAAGCCATGATTTTTTTGGTTATATTCTACCGCATTTGAAGTAGAGGACGCAGAGCTGCCCTAATCTCGACTCATCATTTTCCCTCCTCTTCCCACCCTCCCTCCACAACAATGGAAGTGAAACAATGGATTCTGCTAGAGGATCATGGGAAAAGTTATCGTTCATCTCCAAGAAGTGCTCCACACACATGTTGATAGCATCGTTGGGAACACCGTTCCTGTGAGGTCATGGGGCTTCCTAAGCAGCAGAGAGAATGTAACAGGGCAGCCTGAGGACAGGTCTCCTGCTCCTATTTGTCCAATCGGCCTCAAGGCTGGACAGTCCATCAGAATAGAGAGGTGATGGTCACTCCAGACAGCCACCTCCACACCCACCTGCGCTTGGCCTGCCATCTCAATGCCAGCATCAAGGAATTCATCGAAATCATCGCTGAACTTTCCAGAGGCTGCGGCCAGCTCTCCGCTCTGGCCGCGGGTGGCATGGACCACTTCCCCAGCAGACTGGTTCAGGTCAGCTGCTGCTTGGTTCAGTTCACTTTGGGCTTCCTGGAACGGCTTTGTGCTTGGAGGTAGCTACGGGGAACAGAAGGCACACCCCATGGGAAGTTTCACTTTGCATGAGAGGGATAGAGCAAGGTATTGTGGAGAGAAGACAGACTCTCCAGGGATGCATTTCTGAGTCAAGACTAAAAGGCTCTGTGTGGTTTGAGCTCATGTTAAGTCTGACCTTGAACATAATATAGACATTCATTCATTCACTTCATGCACTTACATTTATCAAAAACCTATTCAGTGCTAGATACAGCGGATCTAAAAATAGTAAGGATGGCTATCCTCAGAGGCCATGGTCTCATAAGTGGCAGAGCCAGAATTCACACCTGGGCAATCTGACTCCAGGATCTAAGCTGACTCTGAACCACAACTCTATGTTGTCTCTTTTTAAAGGGAAACTCTCAAAATTTTAGTTAAAAGGCAGATGCTATTAAACTTCAAATTCTATTCTTCCAAACTAATAGCCATCAATTTTTGCTTATTAGTGGTCTTTGCTAATAATATAGTTTTTCTATGGGATATATGTGTCATTAGCAGAACTATAACTGCTTATGAAAAGTTCCAGAGTTAAACTAGACTATATTAGTCACACCACATACATTGTTTACATACCTGGTATGTGCCAGGCAACAGACAGGAAAAAAAACAAGATAAAAAGCCACAAGTCCCCTGAAGAGGGCTCACAAAACAGGGAAGAGAAAAGGTCCCAGGTGAAAGCCCTCAGACTATGCCCTCTCTCAGTGAGTCTTGGACACAGGTGGCCCTCCATCACCTGATCATCTCTGTCTGAGATGCCCTGATAAGTCACTGCCCCCTTTCCTATCTCACTGGGATGACCCAAGAGCATACAGTAACACGAGATCAAAGAAAACGTAAACTTTATAAAGCTCCACATGGGAGCTTCACTGATCAGAAAGCCAAATAAGGAAAAGGCAGATTGGCAGGAAAAACAGGACTTTTAAAGGAAAGGCTAGCTGCTCAGAGATCCCACTGAGGGGAGAGGATGCCATTCACACCTGAGACGAGCCCAGTTCCCCAAGGCCCCTTCCCAATTCCAAACCTCTCACCGAGTCCACAAGCAGCTTCTTGCTGGACTCCCCAATGCTCTTCAAGGCCACGTCCACGTCCTTCTGCCCGGGGAGGCAGTTCACGCAGTTATTCAAGGAGTGTGAGACGGCTTTGGCCACCTGAATACCCGGAGGCAGAAAAGATCCGTTAGTCCATAAGCAAGCAGCTTTCCGTGCAAACAGCTTGCATGTGTGCTGGGAGTGAGTAGTGACAGTGTGCAGAGAAAGACTGGGACAATTTCCACCAGCATCCACCAGACACTGTTTACTGTTAAATCGCCTCCTCTGGACTTCTCACCAGGGTTAACATCCTGTCTTGGCAAAGGGTCTGACACAGTGATACAGTACAACCTACCAGCTCCCCAAAGCCAGGCTACATCATGACGCTATGATTCAAACACAGGCCTCGCCAATATTATGTCAGGTTCTAAACCAAAGACATCTAATACCAAGAGAAAGAGAAATAGTTCCCTTCTTAAGAGCCCTGCAGAGGTCACCGAGGTGGACACAGGCCTGGAGCTTTTTGGATCACAGTTAGCTGGGCCTGTGGCTGATTTCTGCTCAGCGACTGTCTGGGCCAGCATCCTCACACCTCACTGCCCATGCATGGGTAGGCAGGACACTATGGGCACTTCCAGAACAACCTGGAGATTCCCACAGATGCCTTTTAAGCATGTGTGAGGACGCCTTTTAAGCAAATGCCCTGTTTGCACTCTTTGGTATTTTCAGTTAAAGGGTTAGGTCTTAGGAAGTGGGCTATCATTCTTTTGAATCTAAACCATCTCCTTCCCAGCTTCCTGTCTAGAACTTTGCCTAGATGGTCTCTAGCCAACTAGTTTCATTAGGTTGTTGAAGACTCATCCTAAGAGGGAGAGTTTAAAATCTGAGCAGCTAGGCCAAGTATATCTAGCTTACCTCCAAAGCTAGGGAGAGGAATATGCTTAAGCATACACAGGCTCCAAACAAACAGGTTGTGTCCTGGCTTCTAAAGTTCCAAGGACAGATTTCAACAAAGCCTCCCATACTGTCTGTTGACTAAAGTAAGCAGATCTCACATTACGGGGCTACTAGGCAAGACTTACAAAAGTAGGTATTGTGTATGGCTAGCATTATTAGGGCATTTTAGAAGGTTCTGAAAACACCCATTGAGTAGAAGTGTTCACACCAGGAGAAAGCCTGCCAACATGTGCACTTGATAACCATGACTGCAAATTCTGGGCCTCACCTGGGCTAGTCTCTGCTGACTCTCCGCATCTCCAGGTGCTATCAGGGCCTGCTTGGCTTCTTGGATGAGCATGGCTGAGCCCTCCATCACGTCTCGGGCAGAATCTAACATGGCATGTGCAGCCGTGGGGTCACTAGTAGATGCAGCCACACCGCGGGCAGCCTGGGCCAGCGTCTTCAGAGCTTGGGCCGTCTCTCTAGCAGCCACCCCTGGGGACAAAAGCCACCAGACTATTAGATTCCATCTCAAGTCATATTTGGGAGTAAGCCTGTAGACCAGAACCTCCTAGAAAGAAGAGAACCCTCTGACAGTGGCTGGCACAGGTGAGCTCCAAATGACTTAATATAAAATTTGAAATGCTGTGCTTCTCAAAGAAGTCTCCCATATCACTGGCTCTGGGACAATGTAAGAGAGAGATGTTATAGTGCCCCACTTGTCTCTAGACCTAAAAGACCAAATACCTGGGATCAAGTACACAGATGAATCATTCAAACTCACTTTTCTTCCCAATCGTTTTTTATCTGGCACAAACTTACATATGATAAATGAACAAGTCTAAGTGTGCAGCTCAGTGAATTTTTGCCTAGGTATACATTCACATGTCTGCCATCCAGATGGAGATGTAGAACATTTCCATCATCTGTGGCCTTTCCCAGTCAATATCCTCTCACACAATTAGGCAGAACTATTCTAGCTTCTGTTACCTTTGACTATTTTATTTTTCCTTAAACTCCATGTTGATGGAACCACACAGTATGGATTCTTTTGTGTCTGGTTTCTTTCTCTGACTGCAATGCTGTGAGATTCACCCATATTGTTACCCATAGCTGTGTAGTATCCCATTATATAAATACATCAACAGTTGTGTATCCATTCTTCTGTTGATGGACATTTGAATTGTTTCCTGTTTGGGCTATTGTGAATAAAGCTATCAAGAAAGTTCTTGTGCATGCCTTTAGGTCAACATGTGGAATCATTTTTTTTTAATATAAACATAGAATTCAATTGCTGGGTCATACAGTAAGTGCATATTTAGCTTTAGAGGGTGCTAAAAAGCTTTTTGCGAATGCTTTTACCCCTATGCACTCCACCAGCAATGTATGAGAGTTCCAGTTGCTCTACATCCTAGCCAAACCTTGCTACTGTCAGATTTTGTATTCTACCCATTCTGGTGGGCATGCAGGTGCATCTCACTGAGGTTTAAGTGTTATATCCCTAATGAGGAATGACGTTGAGCATTTTTTCATACACTTAATGGCCATTGGGATGTCCTCTTTTGCAAAGTGCCTGTTCATATTTAAAGTCATTTCTAAAGATGATGGGATTTGTTGATAAAGTATAAATATAAACTGGTCCTTAAAAACTATAGTGCTA